CTGCCCCCACAGAGTGGACGTGGGTCCGGACTACATCTCTCACACACTCCAGCAGTGAAATCTTCCCGAGACCCTCCTTACGTCCGTGTTACTGGTAATAGAAGAGTAACATGTTACCACCCTGGGGGAAGTGCTCAGTAATACCATTCTTATAATGTCACAGTCTGATTAAGGACGGCGCCGCGTGCGTTCCCCGAGAACCATCTCCGCAGTCCTTCCTCCTCCTCTATACCAGGGGGAGCCAAACTCCGGCCCTCCAGCTCTTCTGAAACTACAAATCCCATGATGCACCTCTCCCCGGGAGTCATGTCTGTGGGAATCCTGCAATGCCTCCTGGGATTTGTAGTTCCACCCCCCAGCTGGAGGGACGGAGTTTGCCTACCCCTCCCTAACCAGGGACAATACTCCCATCCCCCCCGTAGTGGACGTTCCATCCCCTGCTGGATAAAGGAGACTCCGCCATCATGGTGCTCCCCTCTCACCCGCTTCCTCCCGGAGGACTCACTCGGGGCCAGTCAGGGGCCAATTGTGTTCCAGTATCTTTCCTTCTCTCTGCATTTCCAACATGGCGGCTCAGCGCAAGTCACGGTGACCCGAATGAGCGGCGCTGTCACTATGGATTCCTCACAGGCGGAGTGCATTTGGTATGACTCCGCCTGTGACAGGAGGCGGGGCTATAGAGGAGGCGTCGGCTTATGTGGCTCCGCTCCCTCTGCTGCCGCCTCGCTTCCTCTAGCGCCGGCTTCCTGTCACCGCTGATTCTCTCCCGCGGCTCTTCAAGTTCCCCCCTTATGCCACCACCGGCCCCGGGAATGGTGACAGCTAGGGTAATAGATGATCACAGTGGGGGGTCCCGGGACATGAGATGACACGTCTGTCCCCAGAAGACTCCCCTAAGAGGATGTCCTTCCCACTTATGGGATCTTCCAGCCTTGTGGTCACAGTTTGGTGAAGGCCCTTCTCTGTCCCCCCCATGACTGTCCCCCGTGTACAATGGGCTCCTGTACTTCAGGCCATGGCCAATGTACATGGAGATCACTATATGGCCAAACATCTGTAGACACCTGACCATCAGACCTACCATATGATGGGGTTCAGGTGTCTCCAGTAAAGGTTCTGAGTCATCCTCCATCATACAAAGACATTGTAGACAATTGGGATCTTCCAGCCTTGTGGTCACAGTTTGGTGAAGACCCTTTTCTGTTCCCCCCATGACTGTCCCCTGTGTACAAAGCTTTATACAGACACGGCGTGACCAGTTTGGTGGAGGAACTCGAGTGTCCTGCACAGAGCCCTGACCTCAACCCTACTGACCCCAACCGTACGGAACACCATCTAGGAGCTAGGTCTTCTTGGTCAACATCAGTGCCTGATCTCATATATCGGCACCAATTCCTACAGACACCCTTAAAAATCTTGTGGTAACAGTGTGGTGGAGGAACTCGAGTGTCCTACACAGAGCCCCGAACTCAACCTACTGAACACCAATTGTGAGCCAGCCAGGTCTGCTCATCCACCATCAGTCCCTGACCTCATCCCTACTGATCACTGACTGTGAGCCCGGGTCTCCTCATCCACCATCACCACCTGACCTCCCTCTACTGATCACTGACTGTGAGCCCGGGTCTCCTCATCCACCATCACCACCTGACCTCCCCCTACTGATCACTGACTGTGAGCCCCGGTCTCCTCATCCATCATCACCACCTGACCTCACAAATGGGACAAATTCCCCCAGACACCCTCCATAATGTTGTGGAAAGTCTTCCCAGAAGAGTGGAGGATGGTAGAGCCACCAAAGGAGAGCACAACTTCATTTTAATGGCCTTGATATTGAATGTCTGACGGCCTTCTATAGGTTTGACGGTCGGGTGTCCACCAACTTGGCCATATAGTATAAGTATCAGCAGGAGAGGTTCCCATGTTGGCCATTGTGAGTGTCCCCAAAGCTCTGCTGATAGATGATGAGCCGTTCCTCAGAGTATGCCATCACACTCTCTATTCCATCCCTGGGGACATCTACCGGTGGCATTTATCAAGGTTTCCTTCCAGCATTTCCTCAAGAACATTGGAACCCTGAAGAGTCCGTACATTTCCTTCCAGGAAGCCCCGAATAACACGGTGTTACCTCACATGATCAAGCCATCTGGTTCCTTCCAGGCTGGAGAGCCATTTCTCATCAGGCGTCGGGGTTGACGTGTCTAGAAGAAGAGAATAATACATTTATAGCGGGGGGCTAGGAAGGATGGAAACCCCCGTCATAGACAACCACTGACATTAGAGGAGAACTATGAGGGGGCGGGGCTTGTCACTCACCTCATAGGTCGGGGCGACATGTGACAATGAGACTGTCACAGGTCGGCTCAGTAGATCGGGAGGTGAGGGAACACATGCCGGCGTTCGCTCACTTCTCGATCCTGTCCCTGCTCTCTGACATGACAGGGGAGGGGCTGGATTCCCCCCTCCCCACTCCGATCCTCCAGCGCTGACTGGCGGAACGGACGGTGGAGGGGGCGGGTACAGCTGGCTCTGCCTCTAGATAGGAGGAGCCAGCTGTCACTCACGCAGCTGGGCGGAGCCAGACAGAATTGTCCCGGCTGCGGCGTCTCAGTATACCGCGAGCTGTAGCTCCCTATATACTGAGCTTTGGGACACAGGAGGGCGCTAGTTTGTGACCCCCCGTTACCCTAAGGAGAACTATGGGGGAAAAGCCCTGACCCCGTATTTCTCCTTTAATGTGGTCCACAGCTACATAGTGACCCTTGCCTTTAAATCTGACCATATAGATGGTGGTAGGGGGGGGTGGGGGGATCTAGGAATCCTTCACAAGGACATGGTAAGAAAGGGTTCATACATGAGCTGCTTCCATTACATACATGTGACCTGCAGACATCACGGGGGTACGACTGATACTCATGTAAGGGGCCCGGGCAGCCTGGGGGGCCCGCACGGGTCCCTTACATGACTATCGGCCGACGGTGAAGGGGGAGGAGGCCCGGCCCTAGCAGCGCAGGGCCCCAGCATTGCCGCTCCAGCAACTTTGAGACAAGCTGGGGCTCCATCAGCCACGCTGCTCCTCTGATGTCGTACTGGCAGGTAGTGACGTCACTTCTGGCCGGTCCGGCGGCAGACGAGGCCATGTGTGCAGGTAAGAAACCTGCAGACATCTTATTGACCTGAAGCCGGCGTCATGGAGTGAAGAAGGAATGATCTGCCCTTGTGAGTCCAATATTAAATAGTCTTTTCTCTCCTATGACCTCCTTCAGACGCACGCTCATGGCTCGATTGGATTTCAAGA